TAGGCACCGGCACACACTTCTTCCATTTGAGTATCATTAGCTACAAAGCGAACTCAACGATGACAAGTGGGGCATTTAAAGGGAAACATATGAGAGACTTCACTCCTCACTCATGGTCAGTTTTATAGTTTATATATAGCTGTGGTTATAAATATATTCAAATATCTTGTGCAATTCTTTATCTGATTTCTTTTTTTCTTTCTTTTTTCCCTTCCCTCCTCACATCAGGATCCTTTGCCAGCCGTTCCTGACGCTAAGCCTTGTTGTTGTCTTTTCAAATACCTCTTGTCGCACAGCTGACAAATGGCTAAGATAAGATGACAATTCCCTGCGCGCTTTTATAAATAAACTCCTACCGATCCGACGGAGAGCAGGAGCTACAGTTTGTGTGCCTGTGTGAGGGCTTTTTTTTTATTGTGTATACCTTCCCGTTTTTGAGAGTATATTATCGTCTTCATCTACAGTAAATCTTCTCTCCTTTCTGCCCGTTCACGGCCACTTTCCCGTCTTGAGCTCCCCTCTGTTAACGTTTCATGTCACAGAGCGTTAATACATCGCCGTGCCCTTTTCATAGATACATGCACACAAGTACGGACCACACACACACACGCTCCTCAGCGGTGTGTTACGGAGAGATGCTGCCTCCCCTCGGCTTTCGTCATGCTAACTCCAGCAGCACCACTCCCCCCACCGACGTCTCCCCCCCACCCCCGCCACAGAAAAAGGTCATGCTGGCCACATGACCCCGCTATTCGAAGAAGAACCTGGTGGATACCCAAAGCAGGCCAAGCACAATCCAATTACACCCCAGGGAGACGCGGCGCATTTGCTGAACTCTGCTCGAGTTATATCCTGTTTCTCTTTGGGGGCGCTTGTAAAGATCCACTTCCATGTTTATGGACAGTCAAGAACTAGAGTCAACAGATGTTTTACGAGCTTCAGACTCCTGCTCAGAAGTCCAGCAAGGGTCAATTTACAATCACTATGATCATGAGTATGATTCCAACTGAATGTGGTTTAATCCTAAATGAAACAATAAATGTGCAGAGACCCTTTGCACACTTTATCTGTCAAAAAATGAGGTGCATTTAGAGTGGGGGGCCTCCGATGTAGAGCGGGCTGCACAGGTCTTCACTTAAATAAACACAAGTCAGCTTGTGGGAAATTGACAGCAACAAGGTTGAAGGTCAAGCTTAGTCGGCTGACTCGGTTAGCTATGATGCATTCCATGAACTCACAACATGTACTGCTTGTCCTCACCTCTCTCCCTCTTCCATCATCCCCCCCCTCCTCTTCACTGTCTGTTATTTATTAACACAAAACAGGCCTAACAATAATCTGAAATACAAATTATTATTTCCATAACAGATTAAACATCCTGCTGTTGTTTTTTTCTGTTAATGAGACCAAGATAATGGAGAAACCGTCTGTATCCGTTTCCCTAAGCACACAATGAGCTTTGCTGCTTGTTCTGTCTGAAACTCGGTCCAAAACATTAAGTTATCACTGTCTATAGTTACACAATAGAGAAGAGGTGCACATTCTTACATTTAACACACTTGAAAAAAAAAAGGGAAATCTTTAACAGTTTTGCTCGACAGATGACATACCGCCAGTAAATCATAAATTGCAGATTTAAATTTCGTTATTGATTATTCTGCGGATTCTGAGTGTGGTTTATAAAGAAAATCAGCTTTGGTGATAGCTAAAGGACACATGAATTTATATAAGCAGATTGAAATAGATCATAAATCATCTGAGTTTTTTGGCAAATCTACAAAAAATCTTATCCTTAAGGCACAAAAATAAGTAAATACAATCTCGATGTGAAACATTTTTGGTTAGCTGTTCCTTCACTGCATGCAATGTCAGGATATGTTACCTTCCTTATAACACAAACACGTCTGGAGTTTGTCACCTCACCTCTGTCATCGGTAATATACATCAAAAAGTTAAGGAAAACATGTGCAACTGTACTGTTAAACCATCTACAAATCACCCTTTTCAGTACAAAAATCAGATCTACTTGAACACCCTGCAGGTTTCTTTGTCCATACAAGGCGTGGAAACCACAGCTGGTCTGAGAGTATCTTAAACATCCACCACACAAGAGTCAGTCTGTCACCTCAACTACATCAGTGACCCGCTGAGTGCCACCGCATGTGAAAGCCTCCAGAACACCTGATAATAAAGCTTATCAAAATCTGCCTGCAAGATTAGATGCTGCAGGGGGGGGGGGGGGGGGGCTCCAACCTGCATACCTCGCCTGCAACAGCACCATGTTTGGTAAGCGCTGGTTTACATTAAGCATCACAGAGCTTTGGTTTACAGTGAAGATGGCTGAGCAGTGAAGCAGGCAAGAGAAGAAGAGCTCGCTACAGCACTTTAGTGGTGAGAATCAGTGATCCATTGAGTCACATACTACACTGTGCGGAAAGAAGAAAATGAGGAGGAGGGAGTGGGGGGGGGAGGAGGGGGGGTTCTGCTGCTGTTCAGCATGTGAGAGTCATACCAGAGGTTGTTAAACTTTGGCTCCCCCACATAAGGTCATAGTTTATGGCTACTTCAGTGCAGTTTGGCGTTTTACATGAACTTGCTACTGTGATAATCATGAATGTTTCCACACAGGAGAATCAGATGGAAAATGTGATACAAAACAAGATGGAATATTGTCACTTGATCGTCGTTTATGTAGGTACGTATTTTGCATCTCTGCAAAAGACTTAACTCTACTGTTAATGACATCTTGTGATAGGAGTGAAAGTCGTACTCAGAAATGAGTGCCGTTATCATGAGTCACATCATGTGTATTTCAGTGTCAGTAATGCACACCTGCCTACAAAAACGGCTGCTTTTATATGCGAGTGTGGATGTGGATGTGGATGTGGAATGTCTCTCCTAAACTTGCTTACTTACACACATCATTACACAAAAGACAAAGTGACGTTCTCTTACATTACATTAATTCACCAGAGTAAATTTAACTCCCTGCCAGCCTGGGTGGCTTCCAACATTTCTACAACCATTAAGAGTCCTCCGGCCATTAATCTCTCTCTGTCTGCCTTTTACACAATACATAAACCGTGTCTCGTCTCGTCTGGTCCTGCTGCTTGCAGAGGTTACAGAATTTTAAACTTGAGAGAGAGCGGTTTATTCTGACCATTTCTCGATGAATTGTTTGGTCCACTAAAACATAACAGCCTTGACATTGTGAATTGCTTATTTTGTCCAACAAGTCTGATTCTTTTTTTTTTTTTTTCTTTTTTTTAAACTGGACTCAACAACCGTTTGTCTTCTGTGTCTGAATGATGAATTAAGTGTTATCTAGATTATGGAAGAAGAATTAAGTAAAAGGGTAACTTTACAGCTAATTCACTAAAGATTGAATCGTTACTGATCTAAAACAAAGCAGTCAGACGCTAAAATGAATCGTGTGTAAGGTGAGAAACTGTCATTTTCTTGTTTTTTTGTGCGCTGTAGTAAAAAAAAAAAAAAAAACACATCTAGTTGAAGTGTAGACGTTTAACCGCTTAGTGCTGTTAAAGCAATCAATCAAATCTAAAAAAATATTCAGGCCGGTTAAGGTTATGGAAAAAATTGCACAAAAAAAACCCCTGCTTTCTTGATTATTATGAAATTAAACTGAACATCTTTGCATTTTGTACTGCCATGTCCTGAAAAAAGGACATTTGATATGCATGCTCTAAATCCAAACTCTCCATCTGGTTCCTAAGAAGTCGGTTGCCTCCTCTGCAGCTCATCTGCAGAAAGCTACACTCACTGACTCCATCTAAGCTCAGCTGTGGACCAAATATGGTGTTGCATCGGGTGCGTTTTGGCTATTCAGTTACAAAGTGACGAACCGAAAACCGAGCCTTAATCAAATTGCTCCAAGAGAAATATGTGATATAATCTGATACACCTTTCTTACATCACTCTGCCGCGGATGTGTGGAGCTCTGAAATAACAAATCTGTCGTTTGCGTAGAGATACTTCGGGGGGGCCAAAGAAAATCGCCTCATGCGGAGAGAACTATAAACCAATTTACTAAGAAAGACATGTTATGGATCTAGATTATGTGATGTTTACCCAGGAGAAGAGGAAGAGCTGGGCTATTATCCAGCAAGTTAGAAGGGAAATGGATTACCTCACCTTTTTTTTTTTCCTGTTTTTTTTAGACAAACAACATCATTCTGGTGTGTTAAGACATAATTAAGTCTAGTAGATTGACTACTCTTGCTGGACTGTAGTGCAGCAGACCTGTGCTACAAAGAGTAGCCTTCATGTTGCAGCAGCAGATATTTGAACACTTTATTCGCCCCCCCTCTGGCTCCGGATTCCTGAAAGTAGTGATTTTCAGTGTTGTGTGAAGTTTGGCTTAATGGTACAGTAAGCAACAACTTTCAACACTTGGAGTTACTTTCTTGCAAACTGTAGGAAAGTTACTGATCATCTCCAATAAAGTCCTGGCTTCAGAACAGTTTCAGGAACGTATTATATGTGATTCATCAATTATAAAGTCCTTCCTTGATCCTCACTTTTTCACTCTGGAGGGATAGAGTATTACTTACTTCACTGTTAATAAATAAAGAGAAAGAACACGGCTGACTTCAACTTTGATGTAGATACAGTAAGAGGTAGCGTATAAAGGAGAGGTTATGTGAACTCAATTAATTGAAGGATGAAGAACAGGACAGGTGCACAATTTAATAAAAGAAAATTAGATTGAGTGAGAAAGTAATGAGTGCATACTGCAGTAAGTTAGCAGACGGACTGTAATAAGCTCACTACTCTGTTTTATCGCTCAGAATTCAACAAAAACAGAGACATTAAAACGTTCAAAGTCATGTAAGAATATTTAAGTTACACTACAGGTTACAAAGTATGAAATGTGGTTAAAAACAACTGCCGTCCCTGCGGCGCTACAATGCTGTGTGAAGATGCCGTTATGCGTCACGTAACGACCTGTTCAAATTCAAATTGCAGGTAGAGGCGCTTACCTCCTCTTCGTGGTTGGTGAATTCACTCTGCTCGTTTTCTTTCTCGATTTTGTTGTTATTCATTCTGAGTCGGGCTCTTTTCTCGCCTTCACGTGGACTATCTTCTTCTTTTTCTTTTTCTTTCGTCCTTCGTTTCTGTGAGGCTCCTTCCTTCTGCTCCAGGACCCCAGATATTAAAAGCCCCCTCGCGTCCGGCCGCTGTCTTACTGACCCGGGCTTCCCACTTGTTTAGCGACACCGACGATGACTAAAATGTAACTTGTTTTAAAGAAGAGAGGGGTGGTGGGGGGGGGGAGAAAGTCGGCTGTGAGAAGTGTTTTCTGTGCAGGCGGATATTCCTCAGCATTCCCTGGAAAGCTTCTCCGCAGGCTCTCTTTTTTTTTTTTGCTGTTCCCAAAATGAAATACAGTAAATGTTCAGTGGACTGCGCCGCAGGCAAACTTCTCTCCTCATCTCCGCGTGAGGGAAGGAGGGAGGGAGGGAGGGAGGGATGAAGGAGGGAGGGAGGGGTTTAGGGTGGGGTAAAGGGTGGGATGCACCGTGTCTGCTGCGCTTTAACAAGTTTTATCAAGTGCTGAGAGCATACACTGTGCAGTCTACGGCTGAGAGGGTGGCAGTGGAAAATTGGTGCATATCACCAATCGGCTTCTGCACCAGCTGAGTGTTATTTTAGTCACTGCAACATTCTTGTAATATTAATGTAGTGTGTTGTCCATCCATAGGGGCTTATTTGGTGACATTATGTCTCCCCCCTCTGTTATTTTTTGACTGCTTTTATATTTATTTACAGATACAATGAAAGTCAACGACACCAGCTTTTTAATTTTGAATTATTTGTTTCTTCATTAATCTATTCTACATTTTCATTCATTAACGTCTAACGCTGTCGGAAACCATCTCTTCACTTATTTGAATTGGCTGTTGTGTTGGCTGATAAGTGGAAGTAATCTCAAAGTTTTCTAAAGAAAGGCCGATCTGAAAGTCTTACATTTTCATTATTTTTAAAGGCCAACAGGGGGCGACTGCACGGGTTGTAAACAGAGTAAACAGATTTAATGAAACCATATAGTCCTATGGGAAAAAAGACCATACTTCTCTTTTGATGTTTTCTATAGCCTAAGTAAACTGCAATTTATGTTCTGTTTCGTTAAGAATAGACACAAAAAGTTAATTATAGCTTCTAAAGAAGAAGAAAAGATCGCAAAAATGCCAAATTAAAGGCTTCAAACTTGTAACCAGCATTACCAATGGGTGATGTCATAGTAGCTAAAAACCCTTACACATAAAGCTCATACATGTAACTTTTTTAAATAAAATGTTATTTTGATGGCCTACATTTTTTAAAATGTAGGCTATATATAGAGTCAACTATAAGGCACCAAAATGGTTTCATGAATTACACATGGCATGTCTAACATCTAAAAATGCATACAGTTTTCAGTGTACAAACCTGTCTGTAAGGAGTGCATTAGACAACAGCAGCTATTGTTTTAATGTTTAATTAGTCCACTCTAAAAATATTGGGATGGTAATCAGCAAATTAAACAACCTTTCTTTTTCTTAATTACTAAACTTAAACTGCCCAAATTCTCAAAACAATTTACTCTGAGCATATAGCCTTAGTGAGGCCCTTTGACAGGCTTATGCATTTTGTATATACATAGGCTATAGAGTATATTTATAGTTTTAATAATAATAGAAAATGGGTCTGTTTGCCATGGGAATACATAAACAGCTTGTCGCTAGTACCCGAAATTAGATTTTATTGCATTCATGCACGATTAGTATGCCACAGTATATACATTTTTCTAAAGATTACCTGTTTTGAAAGAGTACGTATGACATGATATGAGTCCAACGGAAGAAGTTTACATGTCCTCAAAGAGCTCTCATTATTTGCTTTTAGTATTTTACGTTATACTTCCTGCCAAAACCCCACACACGTCTTTTGTTGTGGAAAGTCACTCATTTTTACATACCTCTGTATTTGAAGAGTCACTAATTTCCCTACACCTTTAACCTGTTTACTGTTTAACCAAGCTGTGTTGCATACCATCAGTTTCAGTCATAAATCCGGCATCACAAGACGTCTCGTTACTCTGCACACTCAGGAGTATTTTCTTCCTTTCCTTGTGTCACCCCCCTGAAATGTATGGCACTCAGCATTATCTGTCATCTGTTAAGATGCACAGAGCAGTAGACACAGATAATTATCAACCCGACTGTTAAATACATTTCACGTGGCTCCTGGTTTATTACTTCAGGGCCTCTATGAGTTTTGTGGTTTGAGGCAAATATTTTTCCTCAGACATCACTTGTAAAGCAAATTTCTGTCTCTGTTTACAATGACAATGGCAGGTTGTGTGTAAAGAGGAACTAGAGACAACACCTGCACATTGCTCAAGATTTTAGTAAGATATTAAGTTGCACTAATCCACTGTGAGTTCACTCAAGACTGTGTGATTTATGACCTATAAGTGGGGAAACAACCAGACCCTCCAGCTATGGAAGTGATGTCTCCACAACAGAAGAGATGAGCAAACACTGAAGAAGTTTGCTGGCACACCTATTATTGTCTACAGTGCAGGGTGCAAAACAGCCTTAAAAGCGGCGATCAGGTGACAAGGCAGCCTTGAACGCTACCCGTTTCAAAACATTTATTTTGAGCAACTGCCTCACTTTGTGTTTCGTGATGAAAAGTTCAAGAGCTGACAGTAGCTCGCTGGTGGAGACTTTGACTATACGTTGCTTGACATTTATTGTGCAGGACAAGAGCTTGCATTTTATGACAGCCGGTGCAGAAAACTGAACGTCATTTCTGCTGAACTTGCACCTCAAAATCATCTAAAGAAGGAAAAACAGTCATCGTGGATTGGTCTTGGAGTTATCTGCTCTTTCCCCCCTCCAGATTGTGTCTATATCAATTACTCTGCATCTGAAGCATACACAATGAAGAAGGGAAATGGCAGATTCTTTTTATGCTGATGAGAAGCAGCTCAGGATAAGGGGGAGAGGGAGGAGGGTCTTGGAGTCTTCCAAGCAGATAAAAATGGAAATGTTCCCCATGCTGCTCAACACCCCTGTATCAAAGCCTCCTGCTGGAGTCTGGGGAGCAAAAGAGGGGGAGGAGAGGTAGGAAGGAGGTGGAGAGGAGTCGGCGGGGGAAAGAGGAGGGGGAGATGTCCCAGCTGTGTTTGACAGGTCTCAGGGCTGAGCTGTGTGGTCTGATGCTCAAAGAGGGAGGGTGCCCCCCCATCTCTTTCTCCACAAAACACACACACACACATACACGCACACGCACACGCACACGCACACGCACACGCACACACACACACACCCACACACACACACACACACAGAAACGAGGAGGGAGGGGGGGGAGCAGCTAAGAGACGGTTTGGTCACGGTGTCCTGGGTAACATGTCAGCAAGTTTTGACATGGTCCAGCCTTACATGAAGATATCTTTGTGTTATCAACAGACCGTTAGCTTAAGAAACATTGCCAGCTTCATTGGTTGACAAACCTGTTTTGTTTAGTTAAAGTTGACAGCAAGACAAAAGAGAACAAGCATGCTAATATCTCTGATTAGAAAGACGTGATTTGAGGCATTTTGGTAAAGTGTAGTCGATCTATACCGATGTTGGTGGCCTTTTATGGAAGAACAGCTAGCAGCTTGTTTAGTGAGTTAGAATCTAAAGCTCACTTTGAAACAATTCAAAACTGTATTGGACAAAATATCAAATATATACTTAATATGGCCTCTGTGTTTGACACAACCTTTATAGACATGTGTTTTATTAGGTCCAGTCTAATGCTGAGAAATATTAACAGCCTGCTACTTAGGTGAAAATAAAAAATGGCCAAACTAGTTGAGGAACTCCTTGTATTTTAGTCGACAGAGAGACAAAAAAGAGCTTAATTATATGAAATTTGAATGTTTTTTTTACCCCCTGCATTTTGAGAATTGCAGCTCTATGTTTTCTTTTTATAAGAGCATCTTTACCCATTGTATGTCTCTATGCTAAATATCTAGCGGCTGGTTAAGTTAGCTAGGATAAAGTTAAGTAGCTTAGCTCCAAGAGTGGATAAAATCCACCAATCAGCACCTAAAGATCACTTATAAACACGTCCTTACTTTATAATACGAGCCATTTAAAAGATAACACCAACTTTTGGAAAGGTATTTTATAAGGTGCAGTCCAGACATTAAGATCTCTTTCTCTTATCAAAAGATTGCTAGGTCAGGACAATCCAACATTTTCTGCCTAATTGGTTGACGAAGTGTTGCATTTAAGTCAAAGTTTACAGCAAGACAATATGTTTATTTTAGATAAGAGAAAAGAAATGAAAATAGGTCCTTTTGCTTTCTTGCTTGTGTGTAGACATTCATCTCATATCTGTTAGCTAAATATGTGAGACACTAGCCTGGGTTTGTCCAAAGGTAGAAACAAATCTGCCTACCAACACCTTTCTCGGAGATTTCATCAGTCCAAACTAAGAAAGTCCTGAAGGAGTTTCTTTTGTAAAAGTGAAATATATATGTAGGCCAACATTTTCTACAGCAATTCAAAGATACTGCATTCGTGTTTTTTTTTTACTTTAAACTAAAACTCTTGGAAGCTAACTGGAGTAAGATCTTTTTCAGGCTTCTAAGAAGTCCTCAAAATTCTCAACTGTGTAACAGATAATCACCAACCAAGATAGGCTACTTGAAAAACGTTTTAATTGTTTTTCATTTATTAAATGAAATTTATGAAAAAGTCTACGTAATTGGCAATCGTTTTTTTAGGGCAGACTAACGGAAAGTAAGCACATAAGCAACATTATGTCATTACCAACCCACTATGCTCACACTTTGGAGAAATCGATGTGCCCTAAGGGGATTTTTTTAAACTCACCTGGCGTCTCCATTCTTAACACAAAGCTAAGCTAAGCTAACAGGCTGGAAATTGTTGGTCCAAATTTAACATGATTTTACAGACTTGACATTGGTTTCACTCTTTCCCTCCATCTGCAAAACAAATTTCCCCTTGGAGACAATGAAGTTGATCTCTAAAGCAGGTAAGAATATCACCCAAAATGTCAAACTACTGCTTTAAAACTCAGTGATCTTTATAGCCTAGATAACAAACATTTCAATAACAAGAACCATGGCTGTAACAAGGAGAGATGAATGATTGAGACATAAATCGGATTATCCAATATCATCTTCTGGATCACTGACTCATAGCTAAAAGGCCAGCTTGATATGAGCGCAAAAACAAAAATCTATCATGACACAATGCCGATGTATTGACCAGTGGTGGATTCCCAAGGGAGGACCCCCGCGGTTCCTGGCAGTCAGCTCAGTTGGCGGCCGGATGACTCAAAGATGATGTTTTCTTGTCTCTTTGTCTGTTCACTCTTTCTTTGCATTCCTGAAAGTCGATGTGAAAGAAAACTCACTGCTCTCGATGGTTACT